AAAAGAAAATAGCAGAAATTACTAATGTTTTATTGTCAAAAATCTCGAAACACATACTTTACACTCACACTTCACTTCTATGTAACTGACAAACCCCAACAGTTCTACATGGCTACACACTCAGATTGGCTTTCTTGGTGTTTCAGAAAGCACACAGACTCACCAGACAAGGATCCTCAGGAAAGGGGGGGCAACAACATACATTTTTTGGACAGAACAATTACTAATAAGTGCCCAATTCACATGTTGCAGCTATAATATGTTTTTAAAATGAGCTACATTTGCAAAACATTCATAAAAATGACACAAATTGTAAAAACAAAATATCATTCAATCTGTGAGGGGAGAAGGACCTGCCATATGTGGGGTGTGGTGGTATTGAAAGAAGTGTCATCTTTTTAATCCCTTATGCGATGCTGTTTCTCTGTTTGATGCTGGTTCACTTCTTCTTATTCACAATGTTGTTGCAAATCCAGTTCATGCCATCCTGTCGAGGAAATAAAATGAAACCATCCAAATCAGTTTCTTAATTTGAAGATATAAAGCCTCAAAACCATGTAATTAAGCAAATAAAATACATAGTTTGTAGGGTCTAGAGTCTTTTATATGGTTCATTCGGATCAATCTGAAAATAAATCAATAAAGACTGACCTGAACTCCCTCCCCAGACACAGCTGAGCACGCCTGAATCTGCCACTCCCGGTCCCGGTACGTGTGCAGGTTGAGGCCCTCTGCGACCTCGCTGGCCGGTGAGGATGTGGCCAGATCCTGCTTATTGGCAAAGATGAGCACTGGTACGCCTTTTAGGTTCTCCTCATCAATTAGCTCGGACAACTCCTGCACATCCACATACAATTGACTTTATCTTTATTTATTTTTTAAAAACATAACAATGACTTACATATCTAATTAACATTATGTTGTACAGCTGTAATTCTTTATGAGTATATCTAGAAGTTATTAATCATTATTTTCATCCTATTTCACCTTTACCGGACTATTTGTAAATAAGCCCACTGATCCATTCACTAGTGTTTCTGCTTATTTATGCTTAATCGGTTTAGTGTCAACATACCTCATTAAATAGTATGTATCTATTATAATATAATGAACTTTAGGTATCCTAGTTTTGTTATGATTCAGAATGTATATGCATGCAGACATGACATCAAGCTCACCAGTCCCGTCTCTTCAAACCGCTTCTTGTCTGCACTGTCAATGACATAAATCTGAAAGTGCAAATATGTTAGGATTATATTAACTGACAAGTAAACATAGACAATGAATGAAAGGACAGTTTCCTTTTGGCCTGAACTTCTAGTATAGATGCTGCACTACAGCAGCCAAACAGACAGTGTTAATCGAGAACAGAAGATACCCTTGCCATCTATTCAAAAATGTTCCACAACATTAATGTACAACTTACTATTTACTTCAACAATATACAACTTTAGTGCTTAATTTATGCATGTATGTGATACCTTTCATGGATGTCATGGATTTGTTTTGCTTCATATTCTTTTGTGTTGTATTTTTAGTAAAGCCCTGTGTAAACGCCATGATGACTAGAATCGTCTTTGGGGTTGCAAATACAGGATATAGCGTATAAAGGAAATGTCTCCCATGGGAAAATGTTGAACTGATTAAAACGTTTATTCACTCACCAACAGGTCTGTGTTTTCCAGGTACTTTTTCCAAAAAGGCCTGATCTTCCTTTGTCCTCCAATGTCCCAAACATTGAGTTTCATGCCATGAGAGGCAACACTCTTTATGTTGAAGCCCTGAAGTGAAACACAAAACTGGAGTCACTGTACTGTACATCACTGCCTTCAATTTAACACAGTTACAGTACGCAGCACCTGGAAAGCCTTCCAAATGGTTATGAAGCAATTCATTGAGCGGCAGTGTACTCTAGCACAGGTGTGTGTACTAAATGAATCACTGTTTAATCACTCTGTATTGTAACCTTGTTACGCTTCAGCAGGAGAGCAACAGGTGCTCTGGTCAGTGTATTAATCCAAAGCTGTTTTTCATAACAACGTTCCTTTTATTTAAGTTGACGAGATTGTATAACAACTTTATCCTAAGGGTCAGCGGAGGAGCAAATCTAAAGATAAGACTGGAAGGATCAAGTGCCGTGTATGTGTTTTGGTTAAGTGTGGTTTGGCTTTGTGGTGACTTTTCATGCAGGACTGCATGCTCTCTGATGAGCCTTCACACACGTTAAGGACCAGGCCATACATCTGATCCATGTCTTGACTTGTGAGAGTAATGGAAGGGTATTAGATAATGTGATTAGATGTTAGACAATCACAAGAGGGTGACAAGAAGGCTTTACTAAAACGAAAGGATCTTCCCTGAAAATGTGTTGAGAGCATGTAAATCAGGGAGGTAGTTTCCTGCCGAAAGGTTATTCCCTATATAAGACTTAACAGGATGATCCTCAAATCATCCTTTTGCTTGTTGAATGTTTTAATGTGTGTACTGTTAGCCCAATCATTTATTTCACAGTGTGTCAGAAAGCAAAGGTCATCCGAATCCCATTACTTTGAGCGACAGCGTGCACTGCTCCAGCTGGTCTCACAAGATTAAATACAATCCCCCTGCCTTTTATAATGCTCTCTAACAGTGCCATGAAAATACAAAAAAACATTTGAAAAACTTTCATTCACACATGAAACCCATCATTGTATCAGAGATTCAGGAAAAGGATTCAGTGAGAGCAGACAAATTGATATTTAAAGAGTGATAACTTGTTGGTTAAAGACATTTTGAGGATATTTTTCCTGGCACATGCTCCCGTTATATTTTAAATACGCGAAATCATCAACATCTGGTGATGTTTTTAAGCCGCTCAGCTGTTCATGGTGAGACAAATTAATTTTAAAAAAGGACACAAAACATATACTGCGAGAAGTGACTTTCCCTAAGGTTTTGATGTGTGTGTGTGAGTTTCATAACATATAAATTCCCCTCACCTGTGTTGGTGTGATGGTGCTCACATCCTCAGAGGCGAGGCTCTTCAGCAGGGTGGTCTTGCCGGCGTTGTCCAGACCCAGAAGCACTATCCTGACTTCCTGCTCTGTGGATCCCTTCAGTTTCTCAATGACAGAGAGTAAGCCCTGCAGGTGGCGGAGGAGGGGTGGTGGTGGGAGAATAGAGGCGACCATAAATTTATTTCAACGTTCACTCAGCATATTTCAGTATTTGTTGAGTATCCTTTTCTTCTGGGAAAGTCTCAATGACATGTCATTTGATTAACCTTTTATTATGTTTTGGTTTAGGATACAAAGCATATGGGGGACTCAGCTATTTCAATATTATCTTCTTGGAACACCAGAATATTACTAGGAGAAAAATATAGTTTATTTTCTCAAGGTTGCATTATTTCCTTGCAGTACTCTGAAACATCCAACCTAATACCTAATAAAAAGGCAGTTTTCAGAAAGACTTTACACCTGAAAACCGATCCTACTAACCTCTTTCTGATTTGAGGTCAAAGCACCTCTTACGTACAGCACTGTTGACTATACACATGCGCGTCCAATTTGCTCCACCCACAAACCAGCACCTCCCTCTCTTCCAAATATATAGCCTCTATTTCTGTAAGCATCAATCTGTTGCTTTATTTAGAAAAAGCACTGGTCTTGATTAGAGCCTCATTCACAAAATGGTGTTCTTTTGAATGTGATGAAGCAAGGTTGCGCAATCGCAGTCTGCCACACAGCTGACAAAGGAGACGTAGCTTTAAACACTTCATTCAAAGTGACAGATACTACAGTGTATGTGTGATGAGTTGTACACAAAGGAGTATTAGAGGTGACATTTGGATTTATTACCATTTTATCAACACTATCTGACAAAATGAGCAGTTTAGATAATCCAACCATCATAGCAGAGCTGCATCACAACAGCTACTCTATTCTGCCAAATCAAGTGATTGTTTCACACATTTGGAAACTTTGTATGCATTACTTTGATAGCCACTTGTCGTTAGTTCCTAGTCAACAAATACTAAATAGTACTAGTCAGGTCTCTTACCTTTTGAGCTTCTCCCATGGTGGCGAGTTTCCTGTTACTAGACTGGAGGGCTGCAGCTACATCTCCAGTGAAGCTCTCACAGGTGTGTTAGCTTTCCAGTCACCCAGGTTAGCTATCTAGAAAAGGTACCAACAGCCTCTATCTTTTCCCTCGCTCTTCTCTGTAAACTTTAGTAGGTAAAGGGCTATGTGTGTATGAGATAGAAATGTCTACCTGGGCGTCAATAGCTCCTCTCTGCCGCCTTGGAGTTAGCGAGGAGGAAGAGGGGGAGGGTGGATGGGACTGGGATTAGGAGGCCAGAATTAGCCCTAGTCTCCCATGCAAAGGCCACCCCCCCCTTCTTTGTCCATCCCTCCATCTCCACTTTGCACTGGCTTTACCTGGATTATCCCTTAGCCACCTGCTATAGGAGGAAATGCTATAAACAGTTCTGACATACTCACACGGATGTTATGTGTAGAAAATAGAAACATGTTTGAACAAGTTGCCATATGGCTGATAAAACTTGCCTTTTATGCAGAAAAATAATGACCCTATAGCATGGACTGACAGCATGGAGTTTAAGGCATACACTTCAAAGGATTATGTCATGTAGTTGAACCAGGCAACTTATTATTTCAGTGTTTGTAAGTCAACCCTAAAATCCCACATCATCCATCTCTTGGGAGAGGATAGCATTAACATCCCATATATCCATTACATGCCAGCCGCTATTAAACTGCTGTGTGTGTGTCATCTAAAGTGTGTATTCCTGTAAGTAGAGCATTCAACAGGATTAATTTGAGAGAGCCTGTCCTGTATCAAGATTAAAACATTTCTAGATGCTTTTCCACAACCGAACAGGCTCTTCGGTCAGAGGGCAGGGTTTACATGAGTGCTGTGTTGAACAAATCATCCACCCTGGTCTTGAAATGGCTATTCATAAGCCCTGTAACGTCAGCTGATCACAGACACTTAGCCTTAAAGACAGAGATTAAATGGGTTTTATTCATGCATCAAATACAACAACAACAACAACAACAAATTATGAAACAATATGGCTGCTCATTATATCTAAGGTTAATAGACTGGTTGTCGTTTAGGATTCTCTTGGTGTGAAAGGAGCGGCCCTCTGCTCCATGGTGGCCTTCTGCCTCATCCTCTCTCTGTGTTTAGCTGCAGAGAGTTCAAAGGTGTCATACATTATACTTTACAATAATACAATTACAATCTGTAGTTCGAAATTGAGTCATATGAAAAAATTACAGACAGTTTTGGAAGTACGTCGATTTGCATTTTTGCAGAGTTAGATGAAACAGCAATACCACATTCATTTCTTAACTGTAAAAATGTTGCTTGAGTCGACAGCCGGTTAGCTTAGCTTAGCATTAAGAATAGAAAAATAGAGAGAAGGCTGGCCTGGCTTTCAGAGAAAAAAGTCCACCTCTGAGCACCACTTGAGCTAACTCATTAACTTGTTAGTTTAATTGTGAACAGTAAAATACTTTACACTATAAATAAAAACTTCAGCGATTTCTAGTGCAGACCATTTAGTGGCAAGGGGTGGTAATGTCCACAATGGCTGCCCGACAACTTCTCCTGGCAAAAACCCCTGTAAAACTGCAACTTTGTTAGTCTTGAATTTGTGTACAGATTCAAAAAATATAATGTGTTGATTGGAAGTACTTAGATGACGATTGGTTGAATGTGTTAGATTTCGAGCCAGTTGTTTAGCTCTTTCCAGCATTTATGCTATGCTAAGCTAACTGGCTGCCGACTGAAGCCTTATATTTTATGGACAGAAATGTGGGATAACAGTCTTCTCATAAATGCCTTTGCAAGAAGCAAAATAAGTGCACTTTAAAAAACATAAATACATATAATACTCCTACACTTTAGTTAACATAGTGCTGCATTATATCTATCATCACTCTTTTTTTAATAAAAACAATCTAGTTAATTGAATAAATAAAAAAGAGATGCTTTAAAACTCCTGTATGATGCCATAGATAACCTGAAATGAGCTCTTACCGTTGTCTCTTTTCAGCTTGAACTTCATAACCAGCCCCATAACCAAGACCAGGACCAGAGCGGAAACACCACAAACCACCAGTAACAACAGCGAATTGTCTGGATGAGGAAACAACAGTCATTGAGGTGTATTTATAACTATTCATATTTTAGTTAAATCTTTAAGATCTGTCATTTCAAACTCAGAAATTGTACAATGCAAAATAGTTATAGGCTTAAGTCTATGTAATCTGTGACTGTGTGATATAAACATGGGAGATGTCTACTTACTCTCTACAGTGACATCATGTGGCAGAGACTCATAATAGCCACACAAGCTCTCCACGTAGCAGATGTAGCTGCCTGCTTTGTTTGACAACACCTTTTTGTCATACAGCCTACTTTCGTTCTGGCCCTGAATTGTGTCTTCATTCATCTTCCACCCAAATGTTTGAATCACATCGGGAAGGTTATGGACACATGTTAGATTGAGGTCATCACCCTCCACAAGATCGGAATCACTGCTGTTGATAGAAACCTGAAAGCCTGATGGGCAGGGTTAATATTTGAGGGGAATAACGCAACTGTGATAGTGTAAGGTAATCAGATGATTGTCACTTAATGTGTTTAGCTGAAATGCCACACACAAGTATTTGATAAGAAGTTACCTTTTGTGCAGTTTGATGAAATAGCTGATAATAGAGAGAATAGTAAACATGGAAATTAATAGTCACATTCACATTTTATTCAAAAATAATGTTTTTAATAGTTTTTTAAATATAAATAGACCCACACTTACTTATTCAACTCAATGAAACACTCAGAAATACACCATATAAGAAGAATAATGAAACTTAAAAATGAAAAACATTTAAAAAGAAAGATAGCACTCACCACTGTTGCACGTTTTATTGCAGAGTTCACAAGGGTCTATAAGGAAAACAGAGGCAGAAAGCATAGGATTGAGAACATTTATCTTTGCAGCTCAACTCACAATTGTTTGCCTAGCTGTATTCTATAAATAGTAAGAGGTTATTAATACTTAATTCTTACCTGCCCATGTTGCTGTGGTGTTACATCTCAGACACACGTTATAAACACAGGTGGAGGTAGCACCTGCTAAAAAAATAAATAAATGAAATGATATGTTTTGGGTGTAGAGCTAAACAGACATATACATTTATGATAAATAGGAATATATATATTCAGAAGTGGCTCCTTACCTTTGATGAGATAACCAAGCAAAAGGTATAGGGTTACCCCTCTCACAACCATTCTCTGTTGGAAAACAGAACATTACATTAAATAAGTTCAACAGTAGAATGAGATCAGAAACTTTATGAATAAAATAAAGCAACATTTAAAACAAAAATAGGAATATAAAATGTCATAGCACTCACGATTCTATCATCTTGCGCATGATGTATAACATATTATCATGAAGGTAGAAAATAATGATCAAAGGTTTGCCTTATTACCTGTGGTGGTGTTCTCTCCTCACTCACAGAGTTGAATGATGATCTGCGCTGTTTTGCCTAGGCTTATGGTCTTTGCTTCAGAAAGGCATGGCAGAGCTGATCATAAACACTGATACCAATGCAAATAAATTATTTCCTGGAACTTCATGGCGCAAACAATATCTCGGTTTGTATGTTTCATAGCTGGGAGTGACGGCCATGATGACTTTTAGACTGCTGGTGCTATACTTCTAATGGTGTGGGGTAACATTAAGGCTAAAATTAGGGGATTTTGACTATTACAAAAATAATGTTGAAGGAGAAATAAAGAAATGGACATGTAATATGAAAGACAGAGACAGAGGTATGCTGAAGGATAACTGGTTATAAGCAAAACAATAATTTACTTATGCAAAGTCTTTCTACTGCCTTTCTATACAACATATAATGTGACACATACCAGAAATAACTTCGCTCAGAATAGATGGGCTTAAAGCCAATTTTACTTCATTTTTGAGAGCTGGAAATTAAATATTTTCTATCATTTAAGTCATCAATTGCATTTATACCTTTATATATACAGTCTATGATTTATACACAGTATCATACACATTATGTATTCATGCAGTGGCCAGTAGAGAGTGCTGATTATCCATCTAATTTCTTAACCCCCTTTAGACTCTAGACCAGGGGTCTCCAACCTTTCTTCATCTGAGAGCTACTTTCAAAAAATGAAAGTGGCCAAGAGCTACTTGCATCACATCGCTTACATTTATTCACATAGCCCTCATCAGTTGAATTAAGCTATACTTTTGTACACGTGTGAAATTGCAATACCTAAAGCTTATCAAAAATAAGGTCCAAGAAAACGAAGATTTCTCACATATTATTATGGCCCACATAATAAGTACATCACTGAACATTCACATAAGTGTCCTTAATCACCACCTTACAAGCATTTCACTCTTTTGTTAGTGAGATTAATGGCACTGCATACAGTCCACCATAGAGGTGTATGCTGGACCCACTTAGGTTCACTTAATAGAGTCATTTAAATGTTCATCAGTCGGTCTTGTTCTGTATTTAGATTTCATTCATGTCAGAAAAAGCTGCTTCACAAAGGTATGTAGAACAGAACCAAATAAAGCAGACATTTTCAGTGCTGCTTGGTGAATGTTCTTATAGTTTTCTGGGTCTACAAGGCTCCAGAAATGTTGTGAGTTTTGCTGAGACTTAAGCTGAACATTATTTTGGAGATCTCCACAGGATTGACACTGAACAGTTGTTCAGCCATCTTTTTCTTCTTCTTCTTCGTCTTGACATTAAATTATAAACCATAATAAATCAATTGTATAGGTCTAGCCTCCCTATATCTGTGTGTGAAAATGGTTCCATCCTCAAAAACAAAAAACTAATACTTCTGCAGTCTAGCTGCAGCTTCTAGCAACGGTCTTCTGTTAAAAAAAAGACACACATGACTTGAGTCTGAAAACAGCAGGATTATTTACAATAGCATTATAAAAACAAAAATAGTGCATGTGGGTGCACACTTACATTCTCTGTCTTACTGTTACATAAATCCCATGAATGTATGAGATTAAGTTAGCTTCATCATATCTCAATCAGTGATTAAGTGAATAATAAAGTTTCTATCGGGTCACTATCAGCCTGTCACTCATTATTTTCAGGGAGGGGGCGGGGTTTGGAGGAACGGAGAGGAGACGGTGATCGCGGAAGCTTTCCTCCTGCCTTCACAAACTTTACACAAGTATTTATCAACTGAAAATAGCAAGAGGACATTCATACTCTGCAATCCAAGACTTGATTAAATTCACCAAAAACCTGACATGACGATAACGAGTGTTTTTCAAAAAACACAAATCCCTCCCTGTGTGTCTCTGAGGCGCAGCGACAGGGCCTGATTCAGAGCGGGTCATTCTGCTGTTAGTTCTGGACTCGTGCTGGTGGAGAAAGCAGACTGCTCCGTGTGTGTTGTCGCTGTGCTGCTGTCACGTCTGTTCCTTGATCTCTGCGTCACCGACCATTTGATATTCGTGTGACAGAAAAAAATCTAAAATAAAAAAACGTTATTGTCCAGCCGCGGCCGAAAAATCAATAAGCAACCTTACTACGCTATAATCGATAATCGAGCGGCGAGCTACTGAAAAGCTGCCCGCGAGCTACCGGTAGCTCGCGATCGACGTGTTGGAGAGCCCTGCTCTAGACCTAGAGGACTGGAGAATATCCCAGCATGCACTGGAAAATAAGCAAGGTGCACATTGGAGAGAATGGAAAACACAAACCATCACACTCCTAACAGACAAAGGCGGAGCAATTAGGAGTTTAATATAATCAAACCTGTGTGTGCTTGGTTCGTGGGAGTACAAAAGAGCATCAGAGAAAACATATCATGTATCACACATACACATTGTGAACATGCAAACTCTGCATGGTAAAAACAAAACTGGTTTTGGGATTCAAATAGTCTCTGAGTCACTTTGGCTCTCTTCTCAACATGTAATGTACTGGAATGAAGATCAGGTTCCATACATAAAATAGGCTGGTAGTGTTCCCTCATCCATCTGTGTTTCCTGTTATCTTAACCTCAACCAAACCATAGCCTAACCCCATCCCAGTGATGAAGGTCAACAGTATTGTATCATAAGGGTAGCAGGTTTTGGGAAATATCAATCTGGATTGTGTGCTCATCCTGACTCCAACTGAAGTTATAATGTTTTTAATTTAAGGATTTCTTTGTGAGCATTGAGATCTACTTTAACCTGTTTTCAACTTACTTTTACATTTTTGTGTAGTTTTTAAGTTGATTACATTAATTGGTCAACCAAGTGAATAATATTACATAAAATAATCGTTATTCATTGCCCTTAATTAAATGGCAGCAGCAGCCAAATATTTCTACAAACATTCAGTTTATGACAGGATACAGGATCCACTCTCTGTGACCAAAACTCTGCAGCATCAGCTGAACTTTTGTTCTACACACTAGTTATATTGTAGCCTACATATTTGACGTGTTTAAAAAATGTATGTATTTTTGTCCTTTTCTTATCCTTCTATATTTATGTTTTTATTTATATTTCAGTACTTGCAGTAATTTGCCTGTAGGCTATTTTTATTTCCAATAATATGTTTAATGTATGCACCAAACAACACACCTTTATTGACGTAATTGGCAAGTATGAGGAACATAAGCTACTTGCCAATAAACCTTATTTTTTTAGAAGTTTCTAAATGTTACATTAACATGCTACTTTAATCGATACAAGCATAATAAAAGGATAATTTAACCATGTTACACAAACTTACTGCCTTCACAGTAACACGTTTCCAGGCCACTCGTCCTCTTAAAGCCACCACAATATGTGGGCCTACTGCTAACGATAGGCTTTTGAAGATAGCGTGTTAATCAGTAATATTAAATGCAAATTGGAAAGCAGTTTGCATATAGGCTACTGTAAGTAAGATCATATTTATAAAGCATACAGTTGAAGGTGAGGTGACATTACAACTGAGGGGAGATTGCTCCTGTTACTGACTGAACATTTGAGTGTGATACATTTACAAATCTCTGGACCAGGTGGAGTCACAAGGCCAGGCTGGCTGGGTAACGTTAGCCACTATGCTAAACATGCTACAGCATGGTATTTACTTAGGTAAGTTACCACCATGACATTTCTTCTGCAACTTTTGAACTCCTTTCTGTCATTCTAAAAATTATTCCTTATTTGGTTTCACTGTCTCCCTTTACTATTTGGGTTGTGTATCTAGGCTAAACTGCGTTGCTAGTAAAGTATTGTTTCAATGTTGCTATTACGAACAACTTTCGACACTTATGAGTTTTAACATTACGCATATGGCCACACAAACACGTTGATATCCTAGCTAAAGCAAACAGTTAAGTTGTTGTCGCACATGAAAGCTAGGTGACAGTACAGGTAAGGTGCACTGTTAATGACTGCCGTGCCACACCTGCGGCCCTCAGCTGTGCTGATTAACTCTGACCTGCAGACTTTCAGCGCTGTCGGCTCTCTTGTCTTGCCCATCGCTCTTGCATTGTGTCTGTTTCCCTGAAGATGGTCGCTGTCAGAGGACTTTATCGCAGGTTCTCCCGCCTAGCAAAAGATGCTGCACAAAAGCAGTTCAAGAAATATGAAAAATGTTGCACCACTGGCATCATGGCAGAAAAGAAGAAGGTATGTAAACCAGAGTGAATGCGTTATTTACAGCATTTGGCAATACATAAACATTAGTGTAAAATGTGCACTGTTTGCACACTATACGTACCTGGACTCCTTTTACAATAATTTGATTGCTGTGGCTGCTAAATAATTATGAACTCCTAGTCTACTCTTTGTACCAGACCTCGTTAAAATGTGCTCATACAATTTTCTTAAAAGTATAATGTTATTGTGAAATGTTGTGATAATATATAATAGCTCATAATTCAGAGTTGTGATATTGAAATGTTGCCAACATCTTGTAGAAGTCTAGTACTATGTCTTGAGTCTGAGTTCCTGCATTGCAGGATTACCATCTTAAAATAACAGATTAAGGCTTTGTGTTTTCTACTGTGTTGTCTAAATCTCAATGACTTGTAAGTAAAAGGAAACAAATGCTTGAATATGTTTTGAGGTGTAACACTGAAAAGTTATCTTTGGATTTTATATTTGTTGTAAGCTGCGTCAATTGACTCGCAAAGTGACAAAAGCAGAATGAGTGTGTTCGTCTTGTCTGGGTTCCCACATCATAGGGTTTATCAAGACGTAGGCTGAAAACAGTTTGATCAGAGTAACCAAACTTCCTCTTTTGTGGCTTGTTGCTATGGCAAGACTTCCCTTCCGGACAGGAAGTGACAGGAAGACCCAAGTGGTGAGTGTGTGTGTATGAAGACTATGCATCATGTTTGGGTGGAGCACTTAACTGTGTTCCCTGAGAGTGTGCACGTCGCATACAGACTTCAACTTGTGTTTCGGTGTCTGAGCCACCATGGCGAAGAACTGCAATTCTCTGGGGATTCCTGTTGGCCACATGGTGAGTTGGCAACTCTTGCTT